TCCTCGTACGGCAAGAACTGTCCTATCTCAATTGAGATCAGGATATAGCCATGTGCTTAACAGTTACTTGTCACGTATTAACACGTCCATTCCTAATGTGTGCCCAAACTGCAGCTCCACGCCCCATGACGTCGCCCATCTGTTTTCTTGCCCCAACGCACACACCAATTTAAGTCCAATCGACCTTTGGACTCGTCCCCTTGAAGTAACTAGGTTTCTTCGACTGGATCCTGGTTAGATTCAAATTATTCCCACCCCTCCCCCCCTTCCCTCAACACTCACTCCCACCTTTTCCATTCCTTATCCCATGTATTCGTCTTGTAATCCTTTCATGTTTTATGCTTTCAGGTCCCGGCGGGTTACAACAACAACAACAACAATAGTACAATCATGTGATCTGATGTCATTGCTTCCAAGATTTAAACACGTATATTGTAGTCAAAGTTTTTATAGACACCTATATCAATAGCATGTCCCAATCCTTTTCCGTAGTGTTGACTTATCTGAAATATAAATATTATTGATTAACATGTATGCGTCTATTATACTTCCGGCTTGATTTGATCTTCGTGCTCCTTATGACCGGTGATATGCGTTCATTTCTTCTGTTTTATCTAAAATATGAATATTATTATTTAACATGTATTCATCTATTTTACTTCCGACTCGATTTAATCGTCGTGCTCCTTATGATCGGTGATATGCGTTCATTTCTCCTGCTAATAAAGTTGTACTATTTTGTTCAAGCAGTACTTTAAAACTAAATCTCCTATAAAATCCAGTGCTTTCTGTGGTGTGTGTATTGATAATTATCTGTTCTGAATATTGCATAGTTTGCAATTCTACACTACATCGATGGTTTGAGAAATGTTTCCTGTACAATTATTATGTCCACTTAGTTCTCTTTTAGAAGATTAATTCTCCTTTCTTATTTTAAATAGAATTTGCATTTCACGTTATTATTTTCATGTTGCTGTCATTTTGAACGAATTCTTCTTAATAGAATACAGATTGTTCTCACAGAAAATCAAATATTTCCGAGTCATCAGTTTGGGTTCCGAAAAAAGCATTCTACTGTAGAACAAATACACAGAATATGCAACAAAATCGAAAGCCTTTGATAAAGTTTGGCACAAAGGATTTGTGCATAAGATTGAATTATGATAATTATGAAGATGATAATTATCTTGCCGATTCTTCAGAGTGAAATATAAAGGTGCGTACTCAACACTTGAACCAATTGAAGCCGGAGTACCGCAGGGAAGTATACTTGGCCCAATTCTGTACCTAATATACACAGCCGACTTCCCACCAGAAAGTGTCATTGCCACGTTTGCAGATGATACAGCGATCTTTAACACTGGAAACACAATAAACGAATCAACAGAAGCAACGCCCATTTCATTGATCAAATTATTAGTTGGACTAAAACATGGAAAATTGAGCTCAACCAAGCGAAATCCGTCCATGTAAATTTCACAAACAAAAAAATCGACTATTTGCCGATAACTATGTGCAGTGCTCGAATACCATACTCAAACACAGCTAAATACCTTGGCATGAACTTAGATGCAAAGTTGAAATGGAAAAAACATATAAAGAAAAAACGAGTTGAACTAGAATCCAAATATAAAAATTTATATTGGCTTCTTGGGAAAAAATCACCCGTGACTCTAAACAAACAAATTAATGATATACAAGCAAGTCTTAGCTCCGGTGTGAACATATGGAATCCAGTTATGGGGATGTGCACCAAAATCCTCTATTAAAATCATTCAAAACTTTCAAAACAAAGTTTTAAGAAATTTAGTTAATGCTACGTAGTTTATTAGGAATACTGACCTCCATCGAGACATAAAGATCGAATGTGTGGCTGCAGTAATTCAAAAGTTCGCGGTAAAGCAACAAAAACGATTACAACAGCATCCAAACAAGACAGTCAATCATCTGTCTAATACATCTGGTCTACTGAGGAGACTTAAACGAACAAAGCCTTCAGATCTATTCCCGAATTAGTAGTCTAATAATAATTTAGATTACTACTCTATTAGCACTAAGTCTTTGACAACTTTACAATTCTAATTAGTATTCTGTCGTAGTCAAATGAAATATATTGTGTTTCAAATAATAAAAAAAAAAAAAATGTTGCTGTCATTTTCCATTATTGAAATTATTAGTCACTATCATTGTTCTGAACATGGTTTGCATCATGTTCTTCGTTATAGAATTGATTTATTTTTGCTTTTTGGAATTTCATGTTTGGAGTGGCATTTGCAGCTTCCGCATATTATTGTTTTGTACCGATTTATGCATCTAATCTTTGTTTGCTTCTAGTTGGTTTGAATTTGACTCATCTTGCATTTTTTAAGTTATTGAAGCCACCTTCATAACTGGCTGGGTGCTTCACGCCGGAGTCAGTACTTTTTGATTTTTGTTTCATAATCATTTTTCAATCTTTGGCGTGATGGTTTTCCGTACACTTCACACATCTCACGCTTGCTTAGCAATTAATGGAGGCGGTTCCGACCAGCTGGTAGTTAAGGCACGAAATTTGACCCTTTTTGGATCTTTGGGATTCAATTGTTAACTTAAGGTGACATTAATTTGTAATATTATAAAAATTTTTCTTGTTTCTTTTGAAAGAGGAACTTTTAAAAAATTGGAAGTTGTAGATCCAATCTTCATAAAATATCGTTCTGCGGGATGGACGCGTTGTGATTCCAAATCCTCCTGAATTTTATCTTTTCCAAGATTCTTAAGAAAAATAGAATGGGAGAAAGTAAGTGTGGTATTGTACCTTGATTTCACTTAAATACCAAATGATTTTCTTATGATCATTTATTGTATCAGTGTAAATTTGTATACCCAAATGAAAATTCTTGACTCATGTCATCTTTATGCCACGATTATCCATTACCTGCCTACGAATGGCAGGCAGGTTGCTAATTCATTACTTCAGCTGAGTTTCCGTATTTTGACCCATTTTCAAGGTATACGTTGCCAGACCTTTTTACCATGGCTTCTGATGTAAGCATTTTCTTTTGACCATTTTTGTGTTTTTGATAAAAACTCTGTCATTTCAAGAAAGATGACATTAGTTTCATCATTATCTGTCTAAGGCGACAACAGTATCTTTGTTGTTACCGACTCTGATGGAATCTATAGAGTGTCTGATTTTGTACGGTGACTCAGCTTTTTGCTATTCTCTAAAAAACTGCTTCATCAATATAGAGATACTAACATGCAACTTTACTAACTGGAAAGATTTTTACGACAAAATGTAAGACCATCAAGTCAAATCGCCTAACATTGCACAAGTCATTGGTTAACTAATCATAAAAATAGCTGAAAAAAAGTTATTAATATCCACAACTACTCAAACTACAATTGGCCAGGATTTCGCAAACAATTTAAAGAGGACTTAAAAAGTAAAAATTAACAGGGGCACTGTTTTTCAATATAAAAAAAGCCTTTAATAAGGTTTAATATGCAAGTATATAGCATACCCGAACAGATGGTAAAAATAACATATAGCTTTCTCAAGAAAAGATCCTTCAGAATTAACATTAACTACAATAACTCTCAAACAAAAAAAAACAAATAGTAATACTACTAATAATACTACTAAACAGAGCAACAAAAATAGTAATATTTGCTGACGACACTAGCATATTTGCAACTAGCAAATCACAAATTTTACGAATGTACAAAGTATTTCAAAGGCATAGCAAATTAAGGATAATGAAAAATACCTCAAACCACCTTCATTACAAGGAAAAGAAATTAGAGACCAAATAGACTAATAGTCAATAGAACAACAATCAAGCGGGTTCGAAAAGCAAAATGGATGGGGGGTAATAATCGACCAGCAGTACACATGAAAGTTACATATGAATTATAAAATAACAGAAACTGCAAGAAAATGGACAGAAAAAAAGCCCCTCATAAGTAAGGAAGTCTTAAAAACAAAATCTTAATCTACATAAAACTGATCAGGTCAGGACTAACATATGGTTGCATCGCCTATATAAAAGCAGTAAAGTCAACAAGCAATCAGCTATAAACAGAACAAAAATCCTTGGTAAGATAATAAATACTCCGTGATATATAAGGATTTATAAGGATTTTAAAAACGGACTTTATTAAAGAGTTTTTTTAAAAGCCCTGTCAAAGACTTTTTTGTGGAAAGAGCGTAATTTACTTGGCTGTAGCTTGAGCGCACGTTTAGGTTTTAAAAAAGTTTTTCTAAGTCCGATAACAGTAAAGTCTTAAACTTTTAAAAAGATGGGTATTGATTGTGAGTATAGAGTAGAATTGTTGATAGAAATAATATAAATATATAATATTTCTATAGAAATATATATAGAAATATATAAATAAAATATTTATACCCACTTTGGTTTGGTTTTTTAAGAGTGCGCTCTAAATGTTAAAATTATGACTCTTTGCAGTTCTCTGATATACATATGAGAATTTTTTCACACACTTTTTTGTGAAATGCGAAATTTATTTGTGTAATAGCAACATTTAAAATTTTAAAAAAAAGTGTTGAATAAAATGAAAAGCTCATGCTCAAATACGCTCATGTTTACAATCGGTTTTTGTTGGCAACAAAATTTTATTTATTTTAAGGAATGGAAGCGTAAACATATTTAAATGCACGCATGACCTTATTTTGTAGCATATTTGTTGTTTTTTTCTAGGAAATTTTTGAAAAACCATTGACTAGTTTGATGTGTAATAGCAATCGACGATAAAGATTTTTGACAACCGCTCTTTGTGTGTAATACACGCTTACCGCATCCTAACTTTCAGATTAATTCACTATTCACCTAAGAAACGTTGTAATATGTTACACATTTATCTCGAAAGTTACGAAATTATAAGCTTTCCATAATAGTAGTATTGCCGATTATATAATTTTAATGATATTCTTTAACTGTTTTAATATATTATATAAAAATTTTAAAATTAATGAAATTATTATTTTATAATCTTACTGTTGGTAATCAGGTTTTCTTAATCCATAGAATGGATTTTCAAGCAAGATCGAACCAATATTAGCTTCTTTTAGTAAAGGTTTAGCAATCAAATTTCGTCTTCGCCAATAAAACTAGAAAAAAATAATTAATCAACTTCGCTAAAAATCATAGCTTAAATATTATTTATAACAAATAATTCTAATGTAACATAAAGAAACATTTATTAATGTTCAAACCTATCTGAACTATTTACATGAAGAAAAATTAGTCTTGTTACGTTTCAAGAAAAAAAACACAAAGTGAATTACAGCAATATTTCAATCTATAAAATCACTGCAGAGTCAAAAATATGCTTCAATATAAATAATAATTAATTTAAACTTAAATAAAATAAATTGAATTGATCGAAATTAAGAAAAAATTTCCTACAAAGATATTATTATTCTTTATTATTATTATTGTTTATCATTATTCTCTTTAAATAAAAACAAATAATAAATATTAACTTCAGGTTTAAATAAACTCAATAGTGTCTTTCATACTTGCGATTACAGACACACGTATTAGATAGGCTGTAAGTGTACATCATAAATCTGGTATTGTGCACGATACAAGAAAATATTTTTTTATTTTTTACAAAACTCCGGAAAAATGTGCAAACATAAAAAGTCAAGTACGGCTTTGAGCTTCAAATTTGGCAGGTCACGAGTTCGATTCCTGGTACTTGAAGTCTCAAAAATAATTATTTACGAATAATTAAATACAAGAATTATTTCCAAGACTACTAATGATGGGTATTGGGCACCACTAGAAACAGCTGTATAATCAGCAAAAAATTTAATTATTTAAAATAATATAAAAAATAAAATTTTTGTGTTGTAGTTCACTACTGTTCGAAAAATCTCTATAAAAACAATTATAAATTAAAAACAAATGAAGCTCATGTTCGTGGTAGCTGCGCAGCAGCTTTATATAAAAAACAAAGCGACAAAATTATTGTAGCAAATCAGACGCTTACAAACACATGTAATTGGCATTAAATGAATGAAAAATTAAATTAAAATGAAAATGGAAAAGGAAAAGAATAAATTTTTAAAAACCGAATAAAAATAGTTTCAAAACTTTTTTTAATAAATAAAAATTAATACCTGTAGCAGAACTCGTAAATTAAACTATTAATATGCACCAATGGAGAGAACCATAATTTATTTAGTGAACAAAACTTATTTAGTGAACAAAGAATAATTTTTGAACACCCTCACCAATATTAGAATTTTTCACATTTGCGAAAACTATTGACATATAACAGGTCAAGGGCTACTTGGCCCATCTATTCCAAATATAGAACCTCTGACTTAATTCATAGAAACAAATCTGAGGTGTCTAAGCTAATATCTGTGTTTACGGGACGCTGGTCCATAGGAAGACATGGAGCTAGACTCAGCCTTCCCTGTAGTACCTCTTGCAGTGCGTGTCTATCAGCGCTTGAAGATATAACACCAGAACACCTGACCTTCTTCAACTCACTTAGCGATATCTTCAGCATTAGCATTAGCCAGATTCTTACCTTTGTTAATGTCTCTGGCTGGTTCTAGGTTGACCCTCTATCTACTACTATCTATTACTACCCTCTATCTACTACCCTCTATTATTAAGAAACAGCTCTTAACTATTGTCTAGGCCATAAAATTCTTTCGTTACTATTTTTTCCGCAGTAAATAGGGAAAGATCCTCATTTCCAGGAGTCTATTCCATACATGCATTAGCGCAGGACATTCTAACAGCACAGGTATTGCGGATCTTTTGTAGAGTGTACAGTTTGCATCCGTATATATGCCCAGTTTCATAAGATGGTATTTTAGTGTACCAGTGTCCTGTTAAGCTTTTTTGCCATGATTCTAAGTTTGATTCGTTGAGCATATTTAGCTTTTCAAGGCAGACACTAGTCTTTAAGTCAGCTGATGCGAGTTTGTGTTTCCTTGGTATTTCCGTTCAATATTGAAAATTATGCACTTAAATATTGCGTAAATTTCCGCTTAAAAGATGCTAGTATTTTTTTCCGGCACTTCCTAATACTTCTTGATCGCTCCGACTATGCCCGCTTCGGTATCTTTCTCTGTAAGCGAACCGTCAGTGAATCATGCGATTGTGCTGTCCATAAGCTGGTAGGTTTGTGGCATGCCCTCCCAGCTCCTTTTGTTACTTAGTTCAATTGTAAAGAGTTTGGTAAAGCTGAAACTTTGGATTTAACGTATCCCATGGCATTGTAAACTTCGGATTCTGTTTAGCAAGATTTTCGAACCTCTTGCGATTGAGCTAGCTGTCCGTTAGGTTTCCTACATTCATTCTTAGACCTGCCCTTTCGGCTTGAAATCTGATGTAAAGACATTAACGGATGACGGTGGATAAGTCCGCATGGTACCCCTTATGCATATGCACGCAAGTCTTTGTAGTCTGCTTAGTGCGTCAATGTTATTCTGCAGGTTCCATATTAAAATTATTCTAATAACTGATCATTTGAATTCAGTAATTAGGTGCTTATGTGATAGAGATGCGGTACTTGAATCAAGTCTACAAAACTAATAGAAAAAAAAAGAACCAATGTCGAATATGATTTCACATCAATTGAATTATCAAAAATTCAATTGTGCCTAACTAAATTGTATATTGTAAACTAAGCCTAACTAAAATAACCTTGACCATATAGTATGCCCGACAAGGAACTTAGTACATATTGCAAGTATGCATTTTCTTGCAGACGAATTTTGACGCTATTTTCATGTGCAACAAAAGCGTGTGAAACGTTTTAGGCATTTCATTGACAAAGTTATTTTTTACAACAAAATTACAATTGCAATATACTACAGATACAGAAACTACAATAATACATATATATATATATATATATATATATATATATATATATATTTATATATTTAATCCTGTAACTCCTAGGATGAGTATAGTAATATAAAAACAATAATAATATAATATAACATTTAACATGGTGCTTCCAGATGAGTTTTTGGTCGATATTTATGACGAAGAACTTAACTGTTTTCTTTATTTCTACGTCATTTCCATCAAACCTGATGGGTTTCAGATGTTTCAGTTTGTATTCCCCTGCCAATTTTACAACAGTAGTTTTAGCTGGGTTTATACTCAGTCCTACCTTGTTGCAACAAGTTTTTGTTAATTGTAATACGTTTGTATGTTCATAGAGTATGTTCAAATATTCCTCTACTTGTTATAAGAATGTCATCTACGTAGCCTTGCACTGTCAGTCCGTTGTTTTCTAACTGGTGAAGTAATTCATCCACTAGTATGCTTCACACAAGTGGAGAGAGTACCTCACATTGTGGACATCCCCATGTGGTGTTTATCGTTATTAGGCCCGAATAAATTTAATTATTTTAAAAACTTGACAAAAACTTGCCCATTTAAGTTTAGTCTCTTATATTAGAAATAGAATAAGAATTATAAACGTACATTTATTCGTTATCGACAACTACCTTTCACACTGAAACTCAAGATTGAATCAGCATTAAAGAAAATGGAAAATGCACTACGATCACTACCCTTTAATGAGTGGACAACATCTCATCACATCTTATTAGTAAATAAGATGCTTTATAAAGAAACACACCTATGGCAAATTCCTCACAGTTTACAAAGTTGAATTTTGATCCAGCTTTAACACACCTGCAGGTAGACCAAGAATCAACCAGAATACTTACATTAAGTCGCGAACATTTTGAATGACTAGATTACAGTTTAGAATCAACAACACCAAGAATTTTTCAACATGTAATGAAAGTAGTTCTGAAGAACGTAGACGGAGTGGTTATTTATTTAGGCGACTGTAGTGATTGAAAAACCGAGTTCTGTTTTAAGACTGACTTTATTCATTAAAAATATGTTTATACAAAGTTCATATTTGGAGGAGCAGTGTGCATTAGCATACTGTGAGAATTTGCTGAATTGGCGTCTTCACACGCCAGCCCAAACACTATCGTCAAACGGACGGTAGGGGCTCATATTGCAAGAATGCAATAAAGGTACAATAAATATCAGCATACTTATTTACTCACATAGTGTATGCTTATGCAGGCTACGTTAGAAGAGTTGTGAGATAAAACACGACAAGCTCTTGCATGTATACAGGATGCAGGTTTGAATCAAAGTGTGTTTTTTTACAAAAAAAAAAATTTTAGGTTTTAAAATAAATCGAGGAGTGCGCCAACTGACTAAGGGAAAGCCATGTCTCAAGCACCAGAATCAGTAAATAAAAAGCAGCTACAAGCATTTCTCAGCAAAACACCATTTTATGATAGATTCTCACAAAGTAATTCAACAATTGGATAGATTGGCGATCTATTAGAACCGCTGTATCATTCACTGAGAAATAAAATACCGTTTCAATGGGACAAATTTAAAAAATTATGTATTGAGCGAGCTAATCAACTACTTCAATTAAAAAATCTGTTAGTACATTTAGCGAACTTACCATAACTATTATCTGTAGACGCATCACCATTAGGTAAACTGTTTTAAGGAATTAAGTACTAAAATTTTAATTAAATAGTTGTTTAATATTGTTTTTTTTTTTTTGATCTCACGAACGGTTGAGTGTTTTCGGAAATATGGATTGCGCAATATACTATCACCTAGCTTCTCCTTAACAAAACTGTCGATAAGCATTCTCGTGGTGGGACTGTAACCACTGATTACCTACGGTGAACCGAAGCAAAGCCTCTTTACTCGAAAGCCGAGGGTCTACGAATTTCTCTGTGAATAACTTTCGTAACGGCATCCTTTTCACCATATTAAAAATACAAACTCGCAAGTACCGGCGCAAGCTAGTAAAATCCTTGAAAACTACAAACACTCTTTTTAATGGGCCTAAGTGAAGTATCGTGGAATATTCGTATCGAAATTGAAGTATTCGAATTACAATAGGACATGAGGTCTACTGGTCTGGCATGCCATGAGGTATTTACTAGTCATGAGGTGTTTTAGTCAATTCAAAATATAAAAAAGCTGTCATAGACTGTAAATACATTAACGAATGCATTATGCTTTTACGCTTCAAATGTTACGCCCCTACTGATGATGCAGATAACAAAATAAA